CCCCAGAAGCAGCCAGCAGCAGGTTCCTGGCCAATGGGAGTGGAGCTGGTGCTTGGGGGGCAGTGGGCGGAGCTCTGTGTGCTCCGCCCCCCCACACCCAGGAGCCGGGCCTGCTGCAGACCGCTTCTGGGGCGCAGCGCAGTGCAGTGCAGGACAGGCAAGGAGCTGCCTTAGCACGAGACCCACTGCCTGACGTCCCACCGCCCCGTCCTGGGTCGCGGCTCATCCGTCGTTTGGAACCCACTGCGCTAGATGCTCTCCCCACCCGGCAGGGCGGGTTGGATCGCGTCTGGGCTGGGGCGATGGCCAGCACAGCTGATGTACACGGCTGGGTGGAGACGATGGCTCTGAGCATTTCCCAGCCTAGGCCAGTTCAGCCTTGTTTACGTCTGTTCCCTTCCTCCCCCAGAGCACCAGCATGTCCGCTACAACCCTCTGCGAGACGACTGGGTGCTGGTGTCTGCCCACCGGATGAGGCGCCCCTGGCAGGGACAGGTTGAGAAACCCCCGCAAGAGGACATCCCGCGCTGTGACCTGTCCAACCCCCTGTGCCCCGGAGCAACGCGAGCCAGCGGGGAGGTACTGCACGGGGGGGAGTGGTGCGTGGCTCTTGGGGACCTTGAAGCAACAAGTGCCAACGTGAGGCGCTGTGCCTGTGCGCGGCAGAAGGGGCCGCTCGCCTGGCTGAGCAGCAGGGGGCCATAGCGGGAGGGACTTGGCAGAGGTCATGCAGAAAATCGGTGGCAGAGAAACCCGGAATCCTGGCTCCCAGCCCCCACGCTGCCGTCATCCACTTCCCAACCAAGGCTGGGGGTAGACACCAGGAATCCTGGCTCCCAGACTCAGCCTTCTCGACTCCACTCCTGGCATCTTCCACGGGCGAGCTGGAAGTCTCTGTGCGTCAGCGTCTCCGTTGCAGCGTCTGATCCCCAGCAGAAAGCGCGCTGGGCTGCTGGCAGGCCCGGCGGGCGTGTTGGGAACCTGTGCGCTCCTGGATGCAACCAAGGCTGGGGGTAGACACCAGGAATCCTGGCTCCCAGACTCAGCCTTCTCGACTCCACTCCTGGCATCTTCCACGGGCGAGCTGGAAGTCTCTGTGCGTCAGCGTCTCCGTTGCAGCGTCTGATCCCCAGCAGAAAGCGCGCTGGGCTGCTGGCAGGCCCGGCGGGCGTGTTGGGAACCTGTGCGCTCCTGGATGGGTGCAATCCCCACCTGTAGAGACTGGCATGGCCCGCAGGCCGGGTGGCGCGGGGGATGGGGCCTGTCCTTCCCAAGGGAAGCCAGTGGGCAGGAGGCAGTGGCCAGGGTGCTGGAGTGGTGGGTATGGCAGTCGCTGGGCCCTGTCGCTGCTGCACGAGGGCCTGTGTACCGGTGCTTACCGGTGCCAAGCGCTCAGGGGTTTCTTTCACCACAGCTGCTAAACCGGCCTCCCCCATGGCAGACTGGCCCAGGACAGACTAAATCGCAGCGTCTGTGCTCCACTCTTGCCCCTGGAACCCCTCTGGGGGAGGCTGAGGGCACCACCAGCCCTGGGAACCTAAGCCAGGCTGGGGTCCGGATAGCTGAGGGGACCAGCTGGTGGCAGTGAGGAGGGGGAGTCTGACGAGTGGGGGCTGGGAGCATGGTTTAGCAGGTAAAAGCGACACTCCCGAGCACCCAGTTGGGCCATGTCTAGGCAGCGGGAGGGGCTGCTGACATGCATATGCAGCTTGCTGGCAGCTCTGTGGCAGGCTGCGGGCGTCCCGGTTAAAGCTAGCCGCTGGGTCTGGGCACCGCTGAGGGCGTCTGCTCAGGGAGAATTGCTCAGAACCAGGGCTCCGTACAGCCCCCAGGCTGGAGCCCTCCTCAAACAGGCCCCACACCAGTCTCACCGAGCGCTCCAGCTGCCAATCCGGCCAGCAGGAAGCCTCCCGAGCAAAACCCCTCAGACACCCCAGCTCTCCCTGTGCCACAATCAGCCCTGGGCCTAACACAGGTGAGGGGTTATGGAACCCGATCTCACCTCCCCCGAACGGGTCCTCCCGGTCCCAAAGAACCAGCCACAAATCCCCGGTCAGTTTACACTTTGGATCTTCCTCACAGGATCACGCTGGGCCAGACCTTCAGCATCTGAAATCTAAAGGTTTATTAATAAAGGAAAGGAAAGGTGGAGAGGGAGGTTGTTAAGAGAATACAACACATGCCCCAGTCCCCAAGCTCTTGCTGCAGGCTCTCAGCAGAGGTGTTACAAGCTGCTGGCTTAGAAGTCTCTGGTGCGCGTCCTATGTCCGGACGGGTCGACAATCCTTCCCGGCTCTGTCCCTCGCAAGGCTGCGTCTGGGCTCAGTAGCAAGATTGAAGACAGGATGGAGGCCGCCTTATGGCATTTTATATCCAGCCCTGGTGTCTCCCACGCTGGAGCGGGTCACATGGTCAAGTGACCTGTCTCTGTTTCACATGGCAGCGGCCATTATGCCCTGGCTGGTTTGCAGGTTTCCAGACGCATCCCTCAGGGGTGTATCGGCCACCCTGAGAGCCATTGTCCCTGGAGCCGTGCTAGTTAGCATAGTCGTTTACTGGACATTCCTTCTTTACAACAGGCAGTCCGGGCCATTGCTGTGTCAGACAGAGAATGCTCACGATACCAGCAGAGATCCCATATCCATAACTCCATATGCAGCCATCACACAAGTAGCATATATAGAATCAGTAGAATGCAAGCTTTCATTTGACACCTCACATGGCCCCATTTGTACAGACTTCGGGGCAAACACCCCCCTGTGGGCGCCGCAGTGATGGGCAGTGGCAGGAAGGGGGCTCCAGGCCTGTGCGTGTGTGTTATGCCAGGGCTGTGGGTTTGGATACTCAGGGGGCGGGGGCTGCTATTTCTCATGGGCCCCAGGGTCCCTGTGCTTCAACCTGCCTCTCGTTCTCTTGCCGAAGGTGAATCCGCCGTATGAGAGCACGTTTGTCTTCGACAACGACTTCCCAGCACTGCAGCCGGATGCTCCAGAGCCTGGTAATGCCCTGGGGGGTGCCTGCCCACCCCCTGGGACCAGCCCCAGAACCTGTTACCGCCCCGTAAAGTGCATGGAGCCTTGACGGCATGGCCCTGCAACCTGGCACTACCTTGGGTATTTGCCCATCCCAAGAGCCTGCATCCCTCCCCACCAAACCGGCCTCAGCGCTTGTTACAGCCCACGGCGGTGCTTGGGGCTCC